GGCCGCGGCGGGACCCTGCGGCGCCGGGATGCTGAGGGCTCTGCGGGGAGCGTGGGCACGGTTACTTGGTATTACCGTTGCCGCTAGCATTAATATTTGCTGTTTATTCCTCTGTGCATGTTGTGTGTGCTACCTGTTGGGCTGGGAGCATGGGGAGGAGCAGCCGCGGGCTGCCAGCTGTGCCGAGGGAATGCGAATATGTTCGGATATTTAATTTTTCATTATTATTTGTTGTTGTTTTGTTTTAAGGCACAAACGCTTTTCGTGGAGACTTTCCCGCGGCGGAGCCGAGGCGTCGCGGCGTTTCCCTGCGGCTCTCCTAGGAGCACGGGGATATCGCTGGCTGCTGCACCGCGGCCCCCGAGTGCTTGTGGCGCTGCCGTGGGGGCTGCCGAACGCCCCGTGGGGCTGTGTGGCGGGCGGTAAAGCAGCGCCTAAACAAAAGGAGATTTTTAGGTGCAATATTTTTATTATTAATTAATTATGAGCGCTTTTCTGGGTGCCATGAGCTTGTGGAGGCTTTACAAGCACAGCAGGCGGTGCTCGGACCCCTTTCGGCCTGCTCGTTTGAGCAGATCATCTGTGAACTAGGCAGTCCTGCTGCTCCCTGCCTATTTGCACACCTGTGCTGGAGGAGCAGCCTCGCGTGCCTTCTACCGGGCTCTCCAGCAACCTGGCGGAGTCGATACGGGTTGTGCTGGCTTCTAACTGTGGGGTGTTGTATCTGCCTTTGCTGTTTTACTGTTTTCTGGTAGGAGCTTGATGCTGAGCAGCACAGCTCCGGAAAATGCTTGCTCTGCTGAATTACTCGCTCATCTTGTCCTGCAAGGTTGGCCGTTGCAGTGGATGCTCCGCGATTGTCTTGAGCCAAATATGCATCTTTAAAAAGTCAACCTAGTAAAAAGTGGATTGGTGGTATTGCCTGTAGTGATTATGGTAGCTCAGGTGCTGGGGGTTGAGCTGCTCAGTGTGTTACATGTCAAATTGTGCCCCTGAGCAGGGCAGGCATGGTGAGAGTAAATATGCGCAAGGGCCGACACATTCCCCTGGAGAGCAAGGCAGAGGAAAATGCCATGTAGTCCTGATTTGATGCTGTTGAAGCCAAGGGGACTTGCAGTCAGGAGTGGCCTGTGGGCGAGATTTGGCTCTGGGGTGTCTGCACAGTCTAGCCCTCCTCCACGTTTTTCCACAGGGAGTGGTGAGTGGAAAGGTGTGTAATGCTTTGGAATGCTTCAGGCTCCCAAGGAAACACACGTGGATGTGAATCAGTTGCCTCTTGAGTAATCTTGGTGGCCTCCTGGAGATGCTGTAGCTTAGTTGTGCCCTGCCTGCAGCGAGGTCTCTCGCTGTGCTGCTTGTGGGTGTGATCTGGTCAGGAAGAGGTGGCTCTTCATTTCAATGGCGTGGGGACCAGGTGACTGTCACGTTCCTGAGAAGCTGTTAGCAGCATGTCCTTCAGGAACAGCTTAAATATAGCTGGTTTTCCTGCCCCTGAAGCCTGTTTCAGGTGAAGCCCTTCAGGCCCCTTCAGCTGCACCTCCTGTGAGGGAGGACGTGCTTTGCTTGCTGCCGGCTCCTTGCCTTTGTGGTGCACGTCTTCTTCAAACCATGTGGTGATGGCCTGTGTTTTGCTAGTTTTTGGTGCTGCTACTAAATGTATACCGTTACTAGAGGTTTGGGGATTAGAGGTGTGGGATTGCAATCCAGTGCTTCGTATCCAGCGGTCTCCAATTTCAGTGCTGCAGAGGAGGTACGGAACTGCTTTAATGGATATCGTGTCCATGGGGAGAAATCCTTCCTACTGCCAGGCAGGTAGCGTTTAGTTAACGTCCCAGAGTGGTGTGTATTTTTTTTTTATACAATCTGTAATGTAATTTGAGTGCAGATATTGTTGTTTTTCGTATAAATATCTAATCTCTTTCTGGACAGGGCCAGGCTGTGACTACCAAGTGTTTAGGAGCAGAGATAACATTAGCGCAACCCAGATGGAGAAGATATGAATGTTTATCTGTTTATGGAGAAGATATAAATGTTAGAATCCTTTTGTTGGATAGGCAAAAGAAGTGGTTGACTTTGGTCCTAATGCATTCTCCTCCAAAAATCTGTTGTGTGTCAATTTATTGACTCTGCTGTGTGTTGTAGGGATTTCCATGGGAAAGCATCAGCGGAGTTTAAAAGGAAAAGCAAGCTGAGTTGTCTGAGGTGGGGCTGGCCAGGTTTGCCTTTGGTGTGGGTGGTTTCTTTAGCTTTGCCTTCTGCCCGTTGTACGTTGTCCTTTTTACAGCTCCGGGCACCCTCCCATTGCTGCCCTGTTTGCTTGCAAAGACTGAAGAAGTGATGCTCTGTGTGCCTAAACAAACACGTAGCCTTCGGGCCAGCAGAGCTAATGAAGCTTTCTGTGAACTTGCCTCTGGAGGCTGATGGACTTTTCAGGCTGTGTTGATGATACGACATGAGGGCAGCTATCTTCACGTATTGAAACTGGGTGACAATCTTTTAAGGTTCCTAGGGCAGGCCTGTAAAATTCCAGATTGCAGTTTGGCCTCTCCTGGCTTTCTTGTTTTTACACATTTGGTAGGAACATGGATGCCTTCTTGTCCTCTGCTCTTTTGTTGAATTTGGGTGAAATTGGGCAATCGTGACTTAAAAAGTACCATAAATAAAATGAGGATCCATAGACACAGAATGGGTACGTGAGCTTTTTTTCTGCTGGATATGCCAGGCTGGCAATGGGCATAAAACTTGGCATAGTTGTGTGGGTGAAAAGACCTTGCTCCCCCCTCACTTTTCTTGGCCACAAAAATCGACTGCCTGTCCCTCTGCTTGGGTATCGATATGTGAGGCTTCAACCTGGGAGTGGATGCACAAAATGCAGCTTCGGTTGGAATCTTCTCTTGGAAATGGCAAAATAACAAGGCATGAATGGTTTATGCAATTTGCCTGTAAGATTTTGGCTTTCCTGGCAACCTACATGAGCCTTTTCTCTTGAAGTGCTTGCAGTTCCATCTCGGGTAGTGGCTGGATGTTCAGTGCTCTAATCCCAACAGTGTTTAATTAGCTGTGTGGATGATACTGCTTAACTTTCTTGAGCCTGTCCCTCGAGGTCTATGAAGAGCTCTTGATGGTTACTGTGAGTTAGATGCACTCACATTACTTCGAAGCCCTGTTTTCTGATGCTCTATTCCTGTAGTATAAAAAAGATAATCTGAAATCCCAGTGGGTCCATTTGACTTCAGCTATCATATCATTGCTTCATTTACTGCCAAGGTATTGTTAACCAGCAGAAGTAACATTAGTCACCTGAAGGCTGTAAAACCAGGAATGCTACTTTCCATTTTAAGTAAAGTAAGCTCAAAAAAACCCAAAAAGGCAGTAAAATTTGAATTTTAATATAATAATTCCGTGTCTTCATTAAAAAATGTTTACATCACAACTACCATTACCAGTATAATTTTAAAATGAAATTCAGTAGTAGTTTTAATTGCAAAACTTCAAATTGCACTGTGCAATGCATAATGTAAAATCTTTTGGTTTCAGTCTGTGGCTGGTGTTGCATTGGCTGAAGTTGCTTCTGTTTTAAGACAACCTTATGTGTTTGTGCGACATCTGGCCTCTACTTTCTGGAGGTGCCACGTGCTTGCCATTTTCTTTGACTGTCATTGATGTTCTTTGTGTTTATCACTTCTAACATCAGTGTTTATGGTTCCCATACAATATATTTAAGATCTCCAGACCTGCAAATACTGCCTTTGATGCTTAGGTAGACGGCTAGTTACAAGTAGAGTTGATTTCAAGTATCAGATGTTAAATAGCATCCTTTTCAGCTAAAAAGGTTCAGATATCAATGAGGGGGTTTCCTAAACCTGAGGTCTCCTAAATCCTGACATTGACTTAAATGGGGTCATGACCTCATCCTATGAGGACCTTTAAAAAAGACGATACTTAGGGTCTTTTAAAATTAATTAAATTAAAATTTAAAATTAATTAAAATTAATTTTAGGGTCTGTACCTTCTAGGTTCAGATTGTTAGGGCTTTCTCTGTAGTAACGGGAATGGAAGTTTTCTCTTTCTACTGAAAGCTGAGATTTTTACGTAGCTACTTCAGCTCAGGAAATGGCGGTTAAAGGAAAACTGCAAAAATCCTAGGATATGCAAAATGACAATGATGATTTAAATCTATGGATGCTTTTTATTTTTGAGGGATTATAGTATGAGCAGGAAGGGGAAAAAAAAAAGAAAAGAAAAACTCTTACCTTCATCTCATAACAGCAAAGTTCTAGTTTTAGTACATGGCTAATGGAAATTTTTGACCTTGAACAAGCAGAAAAGTACATTCTTGTTTTTTTGTGTGCTTCTCTGATCAGTTAGTCCTCCTTGAATACCACATGAGTGTTTTTCTGCCTTCTAACTCTCCTTAAAAGCTACCTCGGTTTCCGCAGAAGCAGCATCCCTGTCCTGTGGGTTGCCCCTGTGCCACAGAAGGGTGTCTGTGCACATGGTCCCATTCCGGCTTCTTGGCCGCCTGGCGAGCCAGCCGTGGTTGTTGCTTCCTGCCTAATGACACGCTGTGAAGTGGGTCCAGACCGCACGGCTTCATCGCCCAAGCTTTCAGTCAGTAACAAATTCAGGCCCGAGTTCAAGCCTGGAAAGGATTCACACACCCTTTTCTGCTAAATCTCTTTGCCTATCTCTATTTCTCCATCTTAAGCTCAAACTTGATGTTTTTTATACGTGTGGGCTATCTGTTCCCCTAGGCTGTTTTCTTGTAAAAATCGGAGGAGGAGCAGGCTGGCCAGGAATCAGATAGAGGATGGAGGATGCTCTGTCTCGCCTGCGGGCTGTGGAAGGGACCAGGCAGCACCTCAGTGCTGAGCAGGTATCCGTGCTGCAAATAAAACGGGAACAGTTCTGAGGAATTCTGACTTATTTCCCCTTTTTATCATATGCCATAACCTGATGTGGATCCTGGCACTAATAATGGTGCTTCAGTTTGTCAGCAGAGTAATTTTGCTACTCATTGATTTTTCCTGTAAATTATTCTTGCTAGTGCGCAGCCCTGTCAAGCACCTCATCTTTGGAGGTTCCTCTGTTCACTGTCTCCACAGCAATCATCGTAAGGGCTGCTTAAGTCCTGCAGGGTAAAATGACCCTTTCCACAAAGCTATTTTGTTTGGTTTGTGCAGCTGATAGAGTTGAGCCCTTGGAGGAGCAGTGAATGTCGGTGATGGCGCAGCCCGTTCAGTGTAACCTGGGACAGGCTGTTCTCACCTCATCAGTCCGTTGCTTTATCACCATTACCTTGCTTACCTTGCTGTTTGTGCTCTTAGCTTGACGAAGAGAATGGAGGATTGAGTTGGTCCATAAGGCTGATCTAGACATCAGCCTTCAGCAAGACATGTGGGAGCCCCTCTGCATAAAGCTGCAGCTTCCTGTGTAGATGTTGTGGCTGGAGTGAAGAACTTCCCATGCAGCGCTGTGGCTCTGCTGTAGCTACAGAGATACCTGCTGTTAAAAAAAAAAAATGTGTGTGGAGGGTGGCTTTCAAAGTTCACAGTTGCTGATGTGCCCAATGTCTCCAACACCTGTTGCAGAGGGTTTGAAAATTATCCCCTTTAATTAGATCCCTAACCTGCAGCTATTTTGTTGATGTGAGTTAGTATAGTATATTTAATGCTAGGATTTCTTGTGCCTACCTTGAGATTTTTATCTGTGATATGTGGGGTAAACGCTGCTGTCATGAGGTGTCACGCTGGCATCACGAGACTTCCCTCTACAGTGTTAATGTTCAGTTGTTAATTAATCAGCTCAGGTATGAATACAAGTACAGTAACTGATGAATTATCTAGTTAAGGTGCTTGGGAGGGATTCATAAAGGGTTCTTGCACGTTACATTCAATAGGAATATTTAACAATATATATTTATTTGAAGACTTTCCCATTAAGTGAAAGAGAGCCTAGTAAGTAATGTGTTCGTTCATTCTGCCATCTGCTTTCTAGAAGAGAAGCTGTCCGTTAAGAAAGAGGGGTTTTGCTTCAGCTGTGGCGTATGTTTGCAGTTGGGGGTATTTCTCATGGCACATTCCCTAGCCGTGCTGATGACCAGCAAGGCCGGGAGATGAGAAGCCCCTCTTTGCCTTTGCCATCAGTGTTAGGCTGCCCAGGCCCAGTTTCAGAGCCCTCGTTCTGCTGGAGATTTCAACTGTCCACCTTTGCTCTCTGGCCGTTTTCATCACACACTGGTTTCTGCCTCTGATTTTCCCAGCTTGAAGGGATGTTGCTGCTGCTCTTGCAGGGCACCCGTGTCTGGCCTTACACTGTGGTCGCTGTTGTGCAGTGCTGGGATTTAGTGCGTCCCCAGACACAGGTAACGCAGCCTGTGCACGTTTCTACTGCTCTAGCCCTGGTCTGACTCTGTGTAGGAGATGTCGAGTGCTTCTGCTGGCTTCTCCCCTTTCTCACTCCAACTTAAAATCCTGGAGTCTGCCTTACAGCCCAGGCGAATCAAAACACAGAGTGCGACTTGGTGCGGAGGAGAGGGGGCTGCCAGCAATTCCTTTCCTTGGAGCAAGGAAAGGAAAGGAGCTGCACTTCCTGCTTCGCCCCTTGCGTACCTAAAGGCGCTGTGGTCGTGAGCAGCAGCCACGTGTGCTTACGGGGTCGTAAATGTAAAGTGCTCGTCTTGGGTTTTCTGTGCAAAATCCCTCCTCCTCGGGTCGGCCGGAGCACAGCTGAGAGCTGCCAGCTGGAGCTGCACAAGTGTCACAAGAGTCAGACTGCAGGTATTTTAGCCACGTATAAAGCTGTCTGTGTGCTTCTCAAGGCTGCCATCCCTCACCCAGTTCAGAGTACAAGTCAGATGGAGCCGTTCAGAGCCAAGAAGATTTGAAGTCAGAGCCAGCAGCGCTGCCTGCTCGTTTTGCTGTGGGGGTGGTGGGCTTTGCGAGATGAGTGAAGGTCAGAGATTTAGCTGGAAAAAGAATCTCTTGGCCCGAGTTATTTTAACTTCTGCAGCCTCATGGCCCGCCTTCTATGTGATTTTTAAGGTCTCATTTTTACGTGTGAACTTGTGGTGGGCAGAGCAGGGAAGATCGGAGGAGCACTACATGCATATGCAATGGCTGTGAATATTTTAAGTGTTTACCATCCTAATTCATCATACTCCTAACTATTTAAAGAAAATTCTCCTTTTCTGGTACTGATGTTTTCTTTTGTGGGCCAGAGGCCGGATACTCAATTTTGTGCACGTGTGCCTTGTGTCTGGGCTTGGTCCTATAATGGGAAAGGCAAGCTCATTTTCTAGGGAAGTCAAGCTTTTTATTGCATAGAAACCAAACAGCAGTAGAGATGTGTTGCTATAAAGAGGCGTAGAAAAAGGCAGTGCTCCTTTTGTGTAAAAGCTGTATTCCTCATACTATATAGGATATAAGGGTTCTGTGGCAAGGGTGCATACATACAGTCAATCTGGCACCTGCAGCTTTGGTAACTTTCTCTTATTTGTATTAAGAAGATATAATTTTGCTGCAAGTCACTTTTTTATTATTTTTTTAATATTTTTTTCAGGAGATGTACACAGAATGAGTCCTTAAGTGTCCAAATCCAGGACACTCAATGCAGCAAAGATCAGGATCATCAGGCACCCCTTTTGTGGGAAGCTGATACTTGTCTCCTTTGAGTGGCAGTGAGATAGTAAAGGTCTTGCTTAGGAAAATTAAATTCTGTAAAGCAGAATTCTGTTAAATTCTGTTAAACAGGATTATTCTTCTCTCTTCTGATCAGGCTTAATTTTGACCTCCCAGTGTTCTGGTTGCAAGCCTGATGCCTTTTTCCTTAGGCTAAAGGACTGAAACTGTCTTTTTTTTTTTTTTTTTCTCCCTGTCTGGCTCAGTGGGTTATTTCTAGAAATTAGTGAAGCTTGCAGCGAACGCCTAATACAGGTCTGCAGAGATCCCAGGTTCCAGTAAGGGGTTGTGTTGCAAACTGCACCTTTTGGTGGTAGCAGCTCTTGCATGTGGAACAGATTTCCCCAGAAATGGGGAAAAGGCCCTGTTAGAAATGAGGATCTTGCTGACTTGCTGCGCGTGTTATCTCCTCCCTCCCCAGCCTGCGGAGGTCTTTGGGGATGTCCATTATTAGGGTTGGAAATGCAGATGGAGTTGTCCATCCTGTCCACGTTCCTCTTTCTCAAAAGCTACAAAAACGTCCCCAAAACTGTGCAGGTAGACGTGTGCTGATGGGTTCAGCTGGAAAGGCTTAGGAAATGGCCTCATCCCCCCGGAGGTGCCTGTGTGTGCAGCGGGGGCCGGGGTTGCTGCACCAGCTCCACGGTTCGTTTCGGTGCGCGCTGGAACCGCTTCTGTTTGCACCGCATCTGCACTGAGAGAGGGGGGTGACGCCCTGCATGGCAGGGCTGGCGCCAAAACTCTGCCTTCCCGCGCTTGAGTGTTGGTTTTTATTCTGCTGCTGCTGACCCCTTTGCTGCCCAGGGCTCGGTCATTTCTGTGGTCGCGTTCCCGCTGGGAGCATGGGATGGTTTGACTGGAAAAATGACAAGTTTGGGGGTTCCTGCCTGTTACAAAACCAAATAATTATACAGGTGGTGGAAGGGCAGGAGAGCAGCTGAGGAATGAGAGAGGGTCGGAAACGGCCCTGTCGCTGAAGGGTTTGTTAGGTGGGAGTACGAACTGGAAGCTTTTTTACAACCTGTTGCTCTTTCTAAGGCAAAACCTTCCTAAATCCTTCCAGTTCACCACCTAGGCACACAGCTATGTATGTTCTGACAGGAATTGCTTCCTTGCTTCCCGAGAGAGCATGTAATTGCAGATATCAAAATACTGCTATACCTGAAGCTTTTTTTTTTTTCTTTTGGTGACAGTTACTTCTTGTGATTAGAGATGACTTTTCATTTCAGATGAGCAGCGTTTAAATAAATTGAGCAGCCCACTTACTTGTCAATGTTCTTTGCAGCTCTCGCAGGGAAGCTAGGGAAGGGACTGTGATTGCTTTCCTGACAGAACAGAGGTCCTGAAAGTCAGATTATATTTTAAATTAAGTATCCGGCTTTTGGGAAGTCAATAATAGTGTTTCCTGGTCTTGTAGAGCGCTTGCCAGAAGCCCTATCTTTTTGCATTTGGGACTTGGTTTTAAATCTAATTTATCCTTTCTGTTTTTAAGGCTTCTTTGAAACGGCAGCTAGAGTGTGGGCTCCCTGGTGGTTTATTTCTTCCACATGTAGTGGTCATTTTGCTTATACA